TCATTGTTGTTTGGCGGGTCCGGGCTGGGGATTCGAACCCGCCACCTTAGATGTACGTGGCTGGCGCCTCAGCCAGTTGAGCTATAGGCGCCGAGCCAACCTCAAACTCTTGGATTTAAGCGATTCTCTTGCCTCAGCCTCCCAAGTAGCTGGGACTACAGGTGCCTGCCACAACGCCTGGCTATTTTTTGTTGTAGTTGTCACTGTTTAGCTAGCCTGGGCTGAGTTTGAACCCACCACCCTGGGTGTACGTGGCTGGTGCTATAACTACTGTGCTATGGGTACCGAGCTGACAGTGATTAAAGGAGCCATTGGCAAAATATTTAGCCCAGAGCCTGGTTCTGCCTTTTATTTATGCCAAATAAAAATTACTACTGTTATCAGTACAGCTCCTATACTTTGTGACAGTCTCTTGGATGTTTATGCAGTGCCCTTCTAATCAATCAGATGGGGGATGACAATCAAATGTCAGGACTAAGTTATTCCAAGTACCTAACACAGTGCTATTCCTTAGTGATGCTTATCAATGATATACTGGATGAATGAGTCATGAACCACCAATGAGTGGGTCAGGCCACTCCCCTGCCTCCTCAGGGAGTGTCCCACCCCAAAGACGAGTGCAGAGGAAAAAAATCTCAGCCCCTGTCTTGACTTGGCATATCATGGAAACTCTAACCATACATTTCCAAACACTCTAATCCAGCCAGTCCTGTTAGGCTACCCAGTGGGGCAAGCTTAGGAAAACAGGATATGACAGACCCATAATAACAGGGTGGAGGGGCCTGGGGCTGAGAATGTCGGTACCTGTTGTGTGCCCAGTGCAGGGATGGCTGCCATCTCTAGCTCCAGTAGCATGAGAAGGCTAGTGAGGTGTGATCACTGTGTGTCCTCTGCCTTATCTCTCCAGTCTTGATTTTCACCCTTCACCATCTTGTTTTTTTGTGTCCTATAGAAAGACAGAATGCCTACAGCTTCTGTGTTCACTATGCTGTCTCACTTGTGGGCTTCTGCACCTGTTAGTCTTTTGTCTGGAATGCCCTTCCCATCTTTCTTCATCTCAAAGCTTACTCGTCTTTCAGGACTACGTGCAGCCATTCTTTTCTAGAAGGTTTACCTTAAGCCTGTAGATAGGATCTGACCTTTCTGCTGGCTCAACATCTTAACCTAACTGGCACATGAAAGTATATTGACTTTATATGCACTTAGTGCATGTCTTTTGAGCTATTCCAAATAAAGATGTTGGTGACTGTCAACCATTAAGCTTTCTACTCTTGCTGGAAATGTCTGCATTTCCTAGGGTAGGAACCTGGGCATTCTTTTGAATTCCTCCTTCTTGCCTATATCTCATATGTTAAGTCTTTTTAATTCTTCTCTTCCACTGCTACATGTATTGAGGATTTGTGATAGACCAGGCTATATTAAGCCCCTGATATCCATCATTTTACGCTAGGAAAAGAGTGCTGTTATCATCTACATTTTGCATTTAACAGGCTTAAAGTTCTCAAGGATGAGAATCTGGGATATAATCCTTCAGCTAAGACCTGGGGATTTGGGATTTGCATGGAGTTTGCTTGTCTGCAGTAGGACTAGTTAACCATTATGCTGCCTGTCTTCCTTCAAAATATTTCTTTCTCTGAATTCCTATTTTTACTCTCCTCATCTGGACCCCCTAAACACATTGGTTAGTTCAATAACTTCCTTATAGATAATATCCCAACTTTGTTGGCTTCATGAATTTCAAACTTAATGGCTACTAGAGGTTACTTTTTTCTGCTTCCTTTAATCTTCTATAATGAGATGTAACTTGGACCTTGCATAATGAATAGGACTTTTATAGATAAAGAATGGGTAAAGTCATCTTAGACAATATAACTTGAGTTAGGAACAAGATTGTGTCAGAAGATTTAAGTTTAAATTCCACTTATTAGCTATGTGACCTTAGACAAATTATCTTACTTCCTCTAAGCCTCCAATTTCTTATTTATAAATATGGAAATAACAATAAAGTACTGAATAATCAGTACCACTTAAGGTGAACTCACTAAAGTGACAGGAATTTGGATGCCAATCCATAATCCTTTTGTCTCTTTCTTCCTAACACAGGGCCAATTTCATTCAGGTTGCCATCCCCTCCCCTACATAGCTACGTGCCTCACGGCTAGTCTAAGATAATTAAAGTAGTCTCATTAGAAATGGGCATGGATACTGGCCCAATTCTGGACAAAGAAACATGATAGGACATCTGCAGGAAATCTCTTCTGGATACGACTCCTGCATTTGTTCGATGGGTAGAAGCCATCCTCAGGACAAAGCTGAAACCTGAGGATGGCAGAATGGAACGCTGTAAAGGGCCCCAGCACCGAAACAATCACCTATGGAGGCTCATCTCTGGGCTCTAAATATTGGCAACTAATAAGCCATTATGAGTCAGGGTCTTCAGTTAATTACAGCCAAAAACATTCCCAGAAACACTTCATAGTAAATAGTGGAAAACAACATTTGGGTGGCAGTTTACCTTTAAAAATGGGACAAAAGGGTGGCGCCCGTAGCTCAGTGGGGAGGCTGCCAGCCACATACACCCAGGCTGGTGGGTTCGAACCCGGACTGGGCCAGCTAAACAACAATGACAACTGCAATGAAAAGATAGCTAGGCATTGTGGCAGCTGAGAGTGACATAGTGAGACTCTGTCTCAAAAAAAAAAAAAAAAAA